CATATAAATGTCAACCTGTAGTCTCTTCTATAAACGTGCCCACGTAGCTTAAGCCACTTGTAGTTAATTTCGATAACATTTTCGTGTTCGTAGCATTCTTTAAAGTAAACTTCTGACCTCGTGAACTCACCCCGCATTCGTTGATAAACAACGTTTCATATGTTCATTAATTTAAGAATTGTCACCGTTTCCTTATGCATTGGTCGATTTATTTTATTTGTTATCTTCCTCGCAAGTGATTGGTTGTTCCTTGATTTCCCCGGCGTGGCTGCGCTTGAAGAACATGTTGACAAGGTGTTTACCCTTCTATTACTCACTGCCACGTTCATACTGGCCTTAGGAGACGGTTGGTCGTTGCTGGAGGGGACGGGGTGCACGGTCCTTGTGGTCGTGTTAGGAGCAAAGTGTGATCCCATGCACTCAGTGTGGAGCGGACTACGGTCCATCCACCGCCTTGTGTGCGATTGATTCCCAACTACAGCGTGCTTGTGTTGGCCTGTGAAGGAGTGTGGGCCGGCTCCGTTGATGAAACGTGGCTCCCATCTATGTGCCACCGGTCTTATTCCTTTGGGTTTACACTGGATATGGTGTGTGGGATTGGCGCTGTGGGTGGTGCAGCGCAAGCCAACCATTGTTCTTCTGTAGCCGCAGACGTCCTGTGGCTGGTCATAGTGACAGGCAAATCCGAACCCAGATGCCGCCAACCATACATTGAAATATGTTAGTGTGGCATGTTATTATTTAATTAAATGCAGAATTATTTCATGTTTGGTAGAGGTTAAGCGAAGGTATGTGTTTTAGTGGATGAGGTCGCCTGTACCGGGAGCCCAGAGAGCGATTCGAGAAGACAGATCGAGTTGCAGGGAAACTTTTATTGGTACAGTAAAAGATTCCCTGTTATCTAGCTATAAAGGAACGACACCGTGGACGCTCTAGCTAGGGGAAAGGAGCATGCACAGCACACAGGGCAGTCGCGAGTTGCAACCGAAACGAGCGCCAAGCAAAAATGGCGATGAGCAAGTCAAGCATTCGAACTCAGCAATCAGTTCAACAAACCACACCGGTTGCCTAGGTGTACAATGAAATAATTTAGTTAGAATTTTACACAGGCAAACCGGGGAATCTCCAGACTGCTACATAGCCCTCTCCCAGAAGGGACTGTGTAAGCAGTCCTTCGATCTACGTGAGGACTGTCCGTCGCGGGCCAGCCTTCTGCGAGACCAGGTTGTGAAACCTGATGCAGCTGCTGGGGGAGAACCATGCAATCGGACCCTAGCGGGCTCCCACCCGTGTCCTCCCTACGGTGTCGAAACGGTAAAAAGCTGTTTGTGGGGGGACAGTTAGTAAAGTTCACGTAGGCAGTTGAGCAGGAAGTTCGTTCCACTTCCAGTTGACGTGCGGGGATCCAGCGAAAAGTGAAACCGAGGTGCAACCAACCGGCGGTGTATATGGAAAGCAAAATGAAAAAGCAGCATAAATGCATAGCCATACACAAAAGAGTGCAAAGCGAAAAACGTGCAAAGCTGTTTTGGGTTTTCAAAAGGTTTTGCTCTTTTTTGGTAGTTTCAAAACGTTTTGATCTTTTTGTGGATTTTCAAAAACGTTTGGTAAGAGCAGAAAATTTCAAAGGCACGTTCTATGTAAAATAGTGAGTGCTAACGAAGTCCGAAAAACGAACTGGAGGTTTGAGCTTCCTACCGCGTCGATTGATAGTAGGGCGAGTAGGAGTGCTGTCGGTTGAGGTTGTCGGTTCTGCTGGAGCGAACTGACTCGTCTGAGGTTGCGGTGCGAGCTGTGATGGCGCAGGCTGTGAAGGTGCTTGCTGCACCGAAGAGTCAGACTTGTCGAGGAATGCTGGCTTGAGTCGATCGACGTTGATCGTCTCAGTCTTACCATTGTAGTCAATGGTAAACGTCTTGTCGCTTCTGCGTACGACACGGTACGGACCAGAATAAGGAGGTTGAAGTGGCCGGCGTACGCTGTCAGTGCGAACGAACACGTGCGTGCAAGTAGTTAAGCGTTCGTCCACGTTGGTACGCAAGCTCTGTGCTCTGGGTTGCACAGGCTGAAGCTGTCGCATGTGATGAGATAGGCGAGCTGCGTAGTCGCCATAGTCGAAGGTTGTTGGCGCTTTTGGTGAGACGAGTTCACCAGGTAAGCGTTGTGTGCATCCAAAGACTAGCGACGATGGAGTGGCGTGCAAATCCGCTTTAATCGTGTTTCTTATGCCTAAGAGAACGAGCGGAAGTGCTTCGTGCCAGGATGTGCTAGATTGGGCACAGAGTGATGCTTTGAGTTGCCGGTGGAACCTTTCTACCATCCCATTAGCTGCGGGATGGTATGCGGTGGTTCGGTTATGTTGGCAACCAAGAACGTTGAGCAGTTTGCTGAAGGATCCGTCAAAGTGTGATCCTCTGTCAGTGATGACTACGCTTGGGCAACCGAATTGAGCTACCCAGCGTTCTAGGAAAGCTTGCGCAACTGTCTCAGATGAGCAGTTGACTATCGGAATCGCCTCTGGCCAACGGGTGAATCGGTCGACACAAGTGAGGAGGTACACGTAGCCTTTGCATGGAGGCAAAGGTCCGACCAGGTCGACATGGACGTGTGCAAAACGAGAGTCAGGAGCGGGAAAGACGCCAAGTGGGCTTTTGGTGTGTCTGTATACCTTGGCGCGCTGACACTCTAAGCATGCGCGTGCCCAAAGGCGGACATCGCGATTGACGTTGGGCCATACGAAGCGTTCAGTTACGAGCTTCTGCGAAGCACGTATGCCGGGATGAGACAGGTTGTGTAAAGCGTTGAAAACTAGTCGACGCATCGAAGTAGGAACTACGGGTCGGGGAGAAGTTTGTGAGACGTCACAAAGAATGGTCCCCTCAGATGAAGCTAGTGGAACTTCGCGTAGTTTCAACGAGGTGTTGCGTCGTAGCTTGTCTATGTCGGGATCAGCTTGTTGGGCAGCAGCCATAGCGGCTAGATCAATGTTGGTGCCAGGCGATAAGCTGATCTGCTGAATGCGTGAAAGCGCATCCGCGACGGGATTGAGAGCACCTGAGACATGTCGTACGTCTGTCGTAAACTGAGAAACGTAGTCTAGGTGTCTAGTTTCCCGCGGAGAATACTTGTCCGTTGCGCCATTGATTGCGTAGATCAATGGCTTGTGGTCAGTGAAGACTGTAAAATGTCGACCTTCGAGATAGTGACGGAAATGTCTGATACCTAGGTAGATAGCTAACAGTTCCCTACCGAAGGTGCTGTAACGCGATTCGGCAGGTTGTAAACGTTTCGAGAAGAAACCTAGAGGTATCCATCGATGGTCGATGAGTTGTTGAAGAACTGCACCGACGGCAGTGTCGGATGCGTCAGTTGTCAGGGAGAGTGGTGCAGATGTGTCTGGATGGGCGAGAAGCGCTATGTTGGAGATAGCGTCTTTGAGCTTCTCGAAAGACAGTCTAGCGTCGTCTGCAAAATGAAAAGACCGTTGTTTACCGCGGAGCAAGTCAGTCATTGGTTGAACAATGCTCGCGCAGTTAGGAATAAAGCGTCTATAATAGTTGACCAGGCCAAGGAATCGGCGTAACTGTTTGAAGGAACTGGGAGCAGGATAGTCCTTCAGTGCCTGGATTTTGTCTGGCAGAGCTTCAATACCAGAGGCGGATATGCGGTGGCCAAGAAAGTCGATGGAACTTTGGCCAAGCTCGCATTTATCGGGGTTGACGGTAACCCCATGCTGTGTTAAGCGTTGAAAGAGAGCGTCGAGGTGATGAAGATGTTCCTCGTCAGAAGAGCTGGCGATGAGAATGTCATCTAGATAAGGATAAACGCCTTCGAGTCCTCGCGTTACCTCATGAATGAAACGCTGAAAAGTTTGGGCAGCGTTGCTGAGGCCGAAAGGCATTCTGAGGTACTCGAATAGGCCGAATGGCGTGATGACTGCTGTTTTAGCAATGTCGTCTGGCGCGACAGGTATCTGATGGTAGGCGCGAACTAGGTCGACTTTGCTAAAGATAGACTTACCAGCTAGAGCTGAGGTCAAGTCGTGCATGTGCGGAATGGGGTATTTATCCGGGACGGTAACTTTGTTAAGTGCCCTGTAGTCACCACAGGGGCGCCAGTCACCGGATTTCTTCGGTACCATGTGTAATGGTGATGCCCATGGACTTTTGGACGGGCGGATGATTCCCAGTTCGAGCATTTGCTCGAATTCCGCCTTAGCAGCTTTGAGCTTGTCCGGGGCTAGTCTGCGAGGGCGGGCCGAAACAGGTGGGCCCTTAGTGCAAATGTGATGCATGACGTTTGACGTCACAGGAGGCAAGTCGTTCAGGACGCGAACGAGTTTAGGATGCTTGTTGAAAAGTTCTAGAAAAGGTTGTGAAGCTTGAGGTAGGACACGAATGGGAGTGATAGCAGCCACGTTGGCGCTAGTCCCGATAACACTGAGCTGTGTCCTAGAGTCGATAAGCTTCTTCCTTTTAGCGTCGACGATGAGGTCGAAGCGTTGAAGAAAGTCTATGCCTATGATGGCGAAAGGCACGGCAGCGATTATGAAAGGCCAGCGAAAGGTTCGCCGGAGGCCTAAATTGAGCGTTAGCAGCTTTTCGCCGAAAGTTGCGATTGGTGTGCCATTGGCGGCACGCAGCTTGGTCGGCGATGGTGAGACGACCTCATCTGGGCTACGGGGTATAACGCTAACTTCGGCTCCAGTGTCGACTAGAAACTCGGTGCCGGAAGTTAAATCCCTAACGCGGATGAGGCGACTTTGGTGTTGGCCGGTCGCGTCCGTCGCCGTTACGGACCGGCCGAGAAGTTTCCTGCTTCTCGGCGAAGTTGCAAGGCTTGACACATTTACGAGCTGCGGTACCAAAGCGCTGATGGTACCAACAGCTAGCCTGCCTGTTGCTAGACTTAGAACGTTTGAAGGGCGATTTTGAGCGGCTATGACGACGACGGTTCATAGTAAGCTGTTGAACCTGGCGACTAAGTGTCGCAACTTGTGTTTGCAGGGCTTCTATAGTTGACTGTAAGCCAGTGATAGAAGTGCCCTGGGACGCGACGGCATTGATCTTGCTGGCGTCGGCTTGTGGCTGTGATCGCTCAATAACTCGATCCGCTAAATCTGCTAGTTGAGTGAGCGAAACGGAGCTCACTGTAGCGAGAATCGCTTGCGTGTTTTCCGGTAGCCGCTGTAGCCATAGTTCGCGAAGTAAAGTCTCGTCCATGGTTGAGGAACCAAGGAGTTGCTGCATCTCTCGTAGCAGGGTTGAGGGCAGTTTGTCGCCCAGCTGCAGATCCCTGAAAAGCTGCTGCAGGCGAACTTTCTCAGAGGGCATAACACGCTTAATCGTGGCCTCCTTGAGAGCCTCATAGCGGTTTTCGGTCTGAGAAATGATAACGTCACGAACCTGCATTGATATCTCCTTGGGGAGATAGGACAGGAGCTTGCTATACTTCGCGTAGTCGGAAGTGATTCTGTGGTTGTAAAACTCAGCCTCAAGATGAGCGAACCACAAAAGAGGATCCATGTCCCAAAAAGGTGGTACAGAGAGAGATACAACGCTTAGCAGAGACTCTACCTTAGGGTCTACAGATTCCATGGCTTAAAAAATGACGCAAAAATAGGCTACCGTATGCAAAAATAAACCGGAAAATATGAAAAATAAATGGAACGAGCTCACCGGAGAAAAGTTCGAAATATCCGGCGCTGAGATTGTTCCGGAGTCGGGTCACCAATTTAGAGGGTCGCCTGTACCGGGAGCCCAGAGAGCGATTCGAGAAGACAGATCGAGTTGCAGGGAAACTTTTATTGGTACAGTAAAAGATTCCCTGTTATCTAGCTATAAAGGAACGACACCGTGGACGCTCTAGCTAGGGGAACGGAGCAAGCACAGCACACAGGGCAGTCGCGAGTTGCAACCGAAACGAGCGCCAAGCAAAAATGGCGGTAAATTGAAATTTTTGAACGTGCTGTTTTTGAGGTCTTACTTTCAAAGGACAGTTCCGGAACAGTGTTTACAAGTGTCGTGCAAAAAATTTGACTTTTGTCAAATTTCGCTTGATCCAAAGAATTTTGGATCATCGTTTTCCCCGGATTACGTCGTACCCGTTTTCGGGTACATACCAACGTCGTCCATCTTTTTCGGGTTCAGCCTCTGGCTATTTTTCCGGTATTTTTGTGTTTTGTAATCCGTTTTGCACCTTGTTTAACCCATAACTGTTTCTGTTGACTGCCCTGCAGGTAACAGCTTGTCGGTTTTACGTTTTGATACTTGTTTCACACTCTTTGAAAGCGTCATGTCGGATTCACTGAATACCGGCGCTAATGTGTCTTCGGCTGCATTGATCAGCGAATCTAATGCTGTATGCGGCAGCGGGAGCTGCTCAAAGCCCGTGACGGACGAGTCTGGTGGCATGCAGTGCTATGTATGCAACTGCTGGTACCATCCCTGTCAGCACCATCGGTCACTCGGGCGCCCGATACAGGACACTCATCGGGCGTTCGTAAAATATGGCATATGAAATCGGCTTATAGCCATATCAACTGTCCAACGGCGACTGAAAACATCGATGGTCCTTCGATTAACTTCTTAGAATAAACAAACTACTCATTAAAAGATAGTAGAGATGTTCACTTCGTGAATGCAGTATTCACACCCACATTACGCATAACTGCTGGTACATGCTTACGCTGCACATTTCGGTTATGCGACACCTATAAAAGTGCGATAAGCGTACAGGATTGCACTCCCAGTAGCTGAAACGTCTCACCACCAGCAGACTCTTCCCACGCAATGTTATCGTTGAGCACGTAATGCCCCTTCACGAAAGGCAGAGCTGCTATACAGCGAAAAACAGCCATTGATTCAACGGAGGCCCTGCCAAGTCAAAAGTGATCGTAGATTCCGACGTTAGTTTCTACATGTAACAGAAGGTTTGCGTGAATATGTGACAAAACCGGACTGTCCTGCTGGTAGGAATATGAGCAATGAGGACCATTCAACGTAGTTCCGTAGTGTAGTCGTAGGGCGCTCGTCTCGTTGCGTAGGTGTCCGGAGTTCGAATCTTGGCAGGGTCGCGTAAGGATTAAAAGGTATCACTGGATTGATCTCGTGGTTGTGCGTTAGGTCGTGGTGGCTTCGCCATTTCCCTCTTTCCGCTACGTTCCATTGCGTATTATTAAGACTTTAAGCACTTTTCACACCCCTCATGACGAAGTTGACTGAATCGCATGCACCAGTTGTGTTAATGGCTATGTTGAGGCCAAGATCATAGGTAATCTAATGCCATGCCTTGAGGAATACACAAAGAAATGTAAAGGGGGAGTGCTGCTGAAGATTTCTCCGCCAGTCCGAAACGTACCGTTCGCACATATTTTGGAAGCTGAGCGGCCTGCCGGCGGAGTTTCGTGCTGGTAGGGTCCCCAGATGTGTGGAATTGTAATAACGTGCAATCAAAGGTGTTGGCAGAGAAAGTAAGTTGGCTAGATTATTCCTACAGAGCAAAATCTGGGCAAACTGGGCACTATTGTGAACGGAGGATACCCGGAGCAACAGTTTATCTCGGCGAAGCGTCCGAATCTGAGTCCACTCCGATCGGGCGCTCGCCGAGAAAAATGTTGCGGTTCCTCCTTCAAATGCCCTGTTTTTCCCAGATTTTGCTCTGTAGGAATAATCTAGCCACCTTACGTTCTCTGCCAACACCTTTGATGGCACGTTATTACATTTCCACACATCTGGGGACCCTACCAGCACGAAAATCCGCCGGCAGGCAGCTCAGCTTCCAAAATATGTGCGAACGGGACGTTTCGGACTGGCGGAGAAATCTTTAGCAGCACTCCCCCTTTACACTCAGTGTATCCATCAGCGCATGGCATTAGATTACCTATGATATTGACCTCAACATAGCCATTAACACAACTGGTGCACGCGATTCAGTCAACATCGTCATGAAGAGTGTGAAAAGTGCTTACAATCTTAATAATGCGCACTGGAACGTAGCGAAAAGAAGAAAATGGAGAAACGACCACGACGTAATGCACAACCACGAGATCCAACCAGTGATACCGCTTAATCCTTACGCGACCCTGCCAAGATTCGAACTCCGGACACCTACGCAACGAGACGAGCGCCCTATACGACTACACTACGGAACTACGTTGGTGCGTCCTCACTGCTCATATTCCTACCAGCAGGACAGTCCGCTTTTGTCACATATTCACGCAAACCTTCTGTTACATGTAGAAACTAACGTCGGAATCTACGATCACTTTTGACTTGGCAGGGCCTCCGTTGAATCAATGGCTGTTTTTCGCTGTATAGCAGCTCTGCCTTTCGTGAAGGGGGCATTACGTGCTCAACGATAACATTGCGTGGGAAGAGTCTGCTGGTGGAGAAGTTTCCGCTACGGGGAGTGCAATCCTGTACGCTTATCGCACTTTTATAGGTGTCGCATAACCGAAATTTGCAGCGTACATGCATGTACCGGCAGTTATGCGTAATATGGGTGTGAATACTGCATTCACGAAGTGAACATCTCTACTAGCTTTTAATGAGTAGTTTGTTTATTATAAGTTAATCGAAGGACCATCGATGTTTTCAGTCGCCGTTGGACAGTTGATATGGCTATAAGCGGATTTCATTTGGCATAATTTACGAACGCCCGATGAGTGTCCTGTATCGGGCGCCCGAGTGACCGATGGTGCTAAAAGGGATGGTACCAGCAGTTGCATACATAGCACTGCATGCCACCAGACCCGTCCGTCACGGGCTTTGAGCAGCTTCCGCTGCCGCATACAGCATTAGATTCGCTGAGCAATGCAGCCGAAGACACATTAGCGCCGGTATTTAGTGAATCCGACATGACGCTTTCAAAGAGTGTGAAACAAGTATCAAAAGGTAAAACAGACAAGCTGTTACCTGCAGGGCAGTCAACAGAAACAGTTATGGGTTAAACAAGGTGCAAAACGGATTACAAAACACAAAAATATCGGAAAAATAGCCAGAGGCTGAACCCGAAAAAGATGGACGACGTTGGTATGTACCCGCAAACGTGTACGACGTAATCCGGGGAAAACGATGATCCAAAATTCTTTGGATCAAGCGAAACTTGACAAAACTCAAGCTTTTTGCACGACATTTGTAAACACTGTTCCGGAACTGTCCTTTAAAAGTAAGACCTCAAAAACAGCACGTTCAAAATTTTCAATTTACCGCCATTTTTGCTTGGCGCTCGTTTCGTTTGCAACTAGCGACTGCCCTGTGTGCCGTGCTTGCTCCGTTCCCCTAGCCAGAGCGTCCACGGTGTCGTTCCTTTATAGCTAGGTAACAGGGAATCTGTTACTGTACCAATAAAAGTTTCCCTGCAACCCGATCTGTCTTCTCGAATCGATATCTGGGCTCTCGGCACAGGCGACCCTCTAAATTGGTGACCCCGGAACAATTTCAGCGCCGGATATTCGAAACTTTCTCCGGTGAGCTCGTTCCATTTATTTTTCATATTTTCCGGTTTATCTTTGCATAAGGCGGCCTATTTTGCGTCATTTCTTATGCCATGGAATCTGTAGACCCAAAGGTAGGGCCGCTGCTAAGCGTTGTATCTCTCCCTGTACCACCTTTTTGGGACATGGATCCTCTTTTGTGGTTCGCTCATCTTGAGGCTGAGTTTTACAACCACAGAATCACTTCCGACTACGCGAACTATTGTAAGCTCCTGTCCTGTCTCCCCAAAGAGATATCAATGCAGGTTCTTGACGTTATCATTTCTCAGACCGAAAACCGTTATGACGCTCTGAAGGAGGCCACGATAAAGCGTGTTATGCCCTCTGAGAAAGTTCGCCTGCAGCAGCTTTTCAGAGATCTGCAGCTGGGCGACAAACTGCCCTCAGCCCTGCTACGAGAGATGCAGCAACTCCTTGATTCCTCAACCATGGACGAGACGTTACTTCGCGAACTATGGCTACAGCGGCTACCGGAAAACACACAAGCGATTCTCGCTACAGTGAGCTCCGTTTCGCTCACTCAACTAGCAGATTTAGCGGATCGAGTTATTGAGCGATCACAGCCACAAGCCGACGCCAGCAAGATCAATGCCGTCGCGTCCCAGGGCACTTCTATCACTGGCTTACAGTCAATTATAGAAGCCCTGCAAACACAAGTTGCGTCACATAGTCGCCAGATCCAACTATTTACTATGAACCTCTGTAGTTATAGCCGCTCAAAATCGCCCTTCAAACGTTCTAAGTCTAGCAACAGGCAGGCTAGCTGTTGGTACCATCAGCGCTTTGGTACCGCAGCTCGTAAATGTGTAAGGCCTTGCAACTTCGCCGAGAAGCAAGGAAACTTCTCGGCCGGTCCGTAACGGCGACGGACGCGACCGACCAACACCAAAGTCGCCTCATCCGCGTTAGGGATTTAACTTCCGGCACTGAGTTTCTAGTCGACACAGGAGCCGAAGTTAGCGTTATACCCGTAGCCCAGATGAGGTCGTCTCACCATCGCCGACCAAGCTGCGTGCCGCCAATGGCACACCAATCGCAACTTTCGGCGAAAAGCTGCTAACGCTCAATTTAGGCCTCCGGCGAACCTTTCGCTGGCCTTTC